GGCTTCTCCTGGACCCCTGGGCTTCCTGGAGCTTCAGCTGCAAGAAGCAGAGCCTCGGAGAGGGCGATCTGGGTCCATGGAGGCACAGAAGGGGCAGCTCTACGTGGGTACCGTCCCTGGTTCTGGGCACAGGAACACAAATCTCAGTGGCAATGCTCTTGCCTTGCGGCAAGTGTCACCAGGGAAAATTACAATACTGGGGTCACACTTATGCTGCAAAATCATTTGTTATTTGTCTGAAATACAAATTTAACTGGGTGTCCTGTTTTTAGTTTGTTCTTTGGTAGCAGTGGTTTTGTTTTGGTTTTGTGTGTGTGTGTGTGTGTGTGTTTGCAAAATCTGGTGAGCCCACTGCAGAGACCACCAGAAGGATGTGGAGGGTCTCTAGTTTACAATGACAGCTTCAGTGTCCCAACAAAAGAAGTCACACTGTTTAGTGTCTCCAGGAGCCGGGTAAGCAGTGTGCATGTGAGCAGCAGGGCCTGGCTAGGAAAATATGTGACAACTGACACTGTTCTCAAGTGTCTGGGGACACCCCAGGGAGCAGTGGAGACTGTTATAAACTGCTGTGCACTGCACACACTCCATCTGCAGCAAGTAGCTGCTACTCACCTTCGCCCAGTGTTGCCATCACTGGGATGTGGTAGAAATATTCAAAAACTTCCCAAATGTTGGGGACATTTGTATTTGGAAATTTTGGCAATTAAAATATTGACAACTAATTCAATAATAAAACATTATTTTGGCAACCCTGTCTGGATGGATTGGAAAAAAAAAGGTGTGCTGGCCAACTGACCAACTGCCCTGCAGGCCACCAGCTGCTGCCTGTGCTGGGCAGTGGCACTGGAGGTCAGTCCCCCACCAGGGAAAGCCGTCCCCTGCCCAGCCCCAGCCTGCCACGACAGTGGCTCAGCCGCAATTCTGCTCTTGACTGACGGACTCTCCCGGTGCATCTTGATTTGAACTCTCTGAAAGAGCGGGTCTGATTGGTGGGCCAGTCACCTCCCAGCAGGCAGCAGGCTCCCCTACGCTATTGGCCAGCCTGGAGTAGGGTGCTCTCTGAACCCGTCCACTGTGCCCTGTCAGGGGCACTCCGAGGTCCACACCCCTCGCATCTCTCCCGCTTTGTGTACTTCAGCCACCCTGGCCTGCTCTCCACCCCCTTCCATCCTACGGCAGGGCTCTCTGGGGTCATGCCTTGCTCGCCCTCCTCATCACCAAATTAACACCTTCACATTCATCAGATCTCCGCTGCAGTGCCACTTCCTCGGGATCTCCTTTCCTGGCCTCTTGGAAGAGATCAGACACCCCCACTGCAAGATCCTATGACACCCTGTAACTGGAGTTCATGGTCAGAACCTTTGCCGGCACCTGCAGGCACAGACCAGTCAGCACTCGGGCCCTGTCAGAGTGGACACTGGGACAAGATCCTGCGTGCTTCCTGCTGGACCAGTTAGCATAAACACACAGGTGGGGGGACACAGTTCTAGGGGTCCTAGAGTCAGGGCTTGAGGGATCCAGGACATGAGGAAAGGGCCCCTCAGGGGGTCCATGGCAGCGGTCTACTGCTGTGTAACACCCTCTCCTACACTTAATAACTTAAAAGAACAACGTGTTCTTCCTCACAATTTTGCAATGTGGCCTGGTTTCAGCAGGGTGGTTTTTCTGCTCCATGTGGTGCCTGCAGGGGTAGGAATGGCTAAGGTGGCTCCTTCCACAAGCCTTGCGTCTTGGCTGGGACACTGAAAGCTGAGACCTGGCTGGACGCCGCTCTCTCCAGGTGGCCCCTTCCCGAGGCCAGGTCGGCTTCCTCACGGCAGGATGGTCTCCGATAATTGGGCGTTTTGTGTGGCAACTGGCTTCTAAAACAGTGGAAGCTGAAGCCACCAGTCTTCTTAAGACCTTGGCTCAGAAGTCTGTGTTCCTGCAGTACATTCTCGAAGCAAGTCCCAAGGCCAGCCCTGATTCAGGGAGGGGAAAGACCTCACCTCTCGAGGGGCGGAACTGCATTTGACCTCTTCCAACGTAACTGTTGCAATTTTATATTCGTTTGTGATTTATTTGGTACGGTTGTCCCAGAAGGCAGGGACCGAGACCGCATTAGCTCACTGCCACGCCTCTAGTGCACACCATCGTGCCCGTCCTGTTGCAGCATTTGATGCACATTTGGTGAATGAATGAGTATCTCCTTCAAGAAGTAGGTTCACAATCCCACCAAAATGCTTCAGTGACTGAAATGCTCCAACTTTTGCTTGGTGAAAACCTGAGAAAGGGTTTTTAAAGAGAAGTAACAGAAAATTTAGAGACAGAGTTCTCACTGGCAGAACGAGTTTTGCTTGAAGGCAAAGAATGCATATTTTGGCACCAGAGACCAGGTGTCTGTGGGAGGCACTGGCTGGAGGAGAACTGAAATGAGAAAGGAAGACTCAATACAATAGTTCCCCCACCCCACCTCCTCTGCTCTATGGATGTTCCTAGCACCCAGCACAGATTTCCTACAACTGATAAGATCATCAATAAGAGAAGCCACCCACCAAGACTTGGTGGGGCAACCTCCCAGGAAGGCTCTCCTTAGGCAAGAATTAATACCTTCTTCCAGCTTGGAATTCTTAACGGGAGGTAAAGGTTGGATTTTGGAGGCAGCCTGGGGTAATAAAAAGAACAGGGAGTCAGAGAAACTGGATTTCCTTCCAGCTTTGCCATGCTCTAAGGAATAACCCTAAATAAGATCCTTCTCTTTGCACCAAACTACACCCCCACATTTGTGGAGGGCTCAGTTAGCTTCAGGTCTCAACCCTTCCTGACATGATTAAACCACGCTCTGCCTTGTTATGGGGTAGGACAATCCCACCCTTCCAAGCTCTTCGTCCCTGTCAGTAATGCCCCATCTCCTGCAGATCGCATTGCCCCGCCCTCTCATCTGCCACACCCACTCCCCGCACTGCAGCGTTTGCTTCCAGGACCTCCTGCTCCCGCCTCCATCCCACCCACAGCCTCTCCTGGAGCACAGGGATAGCTTGTTCCTGCCACCCCTCGTTCCAGACTCTCCTCACTCCGCTGCTCCTGAGGACTTCTGACGTCCCTGACACCCGATGGCAGCCCTTGGTGGTTGTCCACCAGGAGCCGAGGGACGTGCTGACCAAGCTCCTGCAGTTTGACTCCGAGGCCACTCGCTTGCCTGGGCTCCTTTCCAAGGCCCAAGGAGACGCACCCTTACAAGGTTACAGATTTTTGTACTATATTTTAACCGCCGTGGTTGTGACCCCTGTCATTTTTCACCCATTTCCCCCGCATTGAATGGTGGTGGGGTGTCTGTGGGTATTTTATGATCTACTGATAACGGGAAGTTGGGTTGGGGATACGTTTAGTTTGGGTTTAGAGGAACATGTGTATGTGGTTCACCTAAAGGTGCCCACATTGGTTGAAAGCAAATAGTGAGGTTTAGAAATTGTTTGGATTATGCCAAAATATTTTGGGGGAAAAGAAAAAAAAGCATAACACAAAGAAATGATGAATGTTTGAGATGATAGGTATACTAATCAGCCTGATCTGATCACTGTGCACTGTATGTATCAAAACACCACTATGTACCCCATATATGGATACAATTATTATGTATCAATTAAACATAAATAAGATTAAGCTAGATTTCCTAAAAATAAAACCAAACTAAAAACTCAAATGTATTCCTACATTTGAATCAAGTCTACATAATAATAAATATAAACAGTTTGGAAGAAAAAAGCATTAAGAAGAAAAGATAAATTTCGAATAAAGATAATGAATAGGCTCTTGGATCATTTTATAATTTGATTAATAATTTGAATCATGTGTATACATTGGAAACAATTTTAATTTCTTGCTGATATGGCACAAAACACTGCCACCAACAAATGTATCACAAAACTCATAATACACATTATAATGAGGGCATTAACAATAAACCATTTTACAAGTGTCACAAATGAAGAGTATTTGAGGTTAGTCAATATGCCAGACAGTTCAAAATCCTCTGAAATCTTACAATTCAGATATGAAAGAAGCTGGATGGGGGTTTGTTCAACTTCAGCAACCACCCTAAATCTTTACATGACATTACCAATGGCAAATTATAAGGCTGAAGGAAACTTTTTTAAACTATCCATTTAAAAAATTGTTTTTTGACCCACCATGTCAAAAAAAAAAAATGAAGTATCTTTCTATCATCATTATAGAAAATGGCATACAAAATCATGCTCATCTGAAGAGATTTTCAAAGAGTCTATAGCTCCCCCCACAAAAAAAAATGTAGGAAAAAGTTTCATAGAGTTACACCAAGCAATTACTTAAAATGTTATTTTTTTTTCGATTTTCTTTATTTATGGCATTTGACAGCTTTTTAAATTTTATGATGTGTTGTAGTTTCCTTTCCCATTCAATGACAATATTTTTTATTTCCAATTTTGTATTTATTACTTTGTATCCCTTTTCTTGTAGGGGGAGCTCAAAATGTATAAGCATCAAGCCACATAACACTTGGTCTGCCTTCCCAATAGCCAATGCCCCTTCCTCTCTCCTAAGAGAATACAGACTTACTCAGGGACCCATTTTCTTCCATCTAACCCTGGGTTTCAAGGGAGGTGGTTCCAGCTCTAATCTTATAGTGTTCCATTCCTCTTGCTAGTGATTGCTTTAGATACACCTATGTGATGCAGTTCTGGCAACGGGTAGGGACAAAAGTCAACTGGGGAAATTTGGGAAAGATTTACTTTTTTGCTTACAGATTGTTTTAAAAAGCTACCCAGGGTTGGATGCCCTATCTTTGTCATCTGGGCGTTGTTGTATTTGGATGTGATTTCTGACACTGTAGCAGCCATCCTGTGACAATAAGGAGAGCCAGCCTCAGAACAAGCCAACCAGCAGAGAAAGAGCCCACCCAGGCCCTACATTTAGATTTATGTGTTAAGCCATGATATGTGTTTTCTCTTTATTAAAGCCAGTTGAGTCGAATTTTCTAGACTTGCAGCTCAAATCTTCTCAGCCGATACACTGACTCTCACAGCTTTCCACTGCCTCCCACAAGTCTCTCATGCGTGATTGTTCTGTACAGTTCAAAAAGAGATGATCAGAGACTGATTTCACAAAGCACATGGGTTGTTTGCCAACAAAGAGAACTTTTTTCTTTTGTTCACAATGCTTAAAGAAGGGGAAGGAATGTGCTAGATAGACATTATTGCCTATCAATACTTCATACACAGTGTACCTTATATCCTGTACTGTATAAATATATAGTGTATGGCATATAAATATATAGTGTAGAAATATACAGTATATGGCATTATTGTGTACTATTAATGTGTTACATTAACCACATAGTGAGTTCCAATTTCATTAGAATCCAATTATTAAAGTCTAGCTGCTCAATTAGCATGGAAGCAGGCCTCCATGGAATATCAAGTCCAATTAAAGTTTGAGGCTATGCTTTATAGGAAGTTCTTGGAAGAGCAGGTTTGATCAACACCATGAAGATCCGTGGCCATATGCAAGGCCCCTCCCCTCGGTACTGGAGGGTGGTGCTGGTGTAAGGCCCACATGAAGCCTTCTCTGATTAATTCAGCTTATCCATCTCTCCCCTCCAAAATGTCTGTAGCATTTATATTTCTTTATCATATAATGTGGTGTATAATATTGAATCATACGAAATGGTAGAAAATCATCCTATCTCTGTTAGACTTGTCTCCTTGATTGTATTCCCAAGCAAGTAGAGACCAATTCCTATACATCTTTTTTTAATTCCCAGATATCTTTTCTATCTCTAAAGATATAGTAAGAATTATGCAAACACTTACCCAAATTCAACTATTTGAGAAATATTCTGAAATTAAAATTATTTACAGTATGGGGGGGGGCAGAGCAAGATGGCAGATAAGAAACACCACAAGACAGAGTGTCTCTGCAAAAAAAAACAGTTTCTAGAAGAAATTAGAAGAAAAAAAGCAAGCAGATGAGCATACATCAGCCAAGGGTCAGAAGGAGGGGAACCGGAAACTACGGGAGACTCCACGGGAGGAGGTTGAGAAGGAGAACTGCAAACAGATACTTCCCGAGTAGTCTGGAGACCAGCGGCAAGGGTAGGCGCAGCAGTTAACTTCCCCTCCCTTGCATCTCAGACTGCTGGTGGGCTCCCCAGCGAGTGGAGAGACCTGTGGACACCAGCCCAGAGACGGCCACCGCCAGTGAGCGGTAAGCCTGTAGCAGATGCAGGATAAGGTTCCCAACTCCCTTGGAGTGCCTCCACGTGCACAGACCCGTGCAGTGCGACAAGCACTATATTGCTGCATTCTCCCCTCCCCTAACCCTAACAGTGGCTACCAGAGAGACAATAAAGCCACCAGCTGGAAGCATTGCCAGGGAACCAGACCTTCCCTTTTGGGGCCCTTCAGCTGACTGACGGGTACTCAGACTGTGAGCTCCCTACCCACAAGCCCTCCCAGGTGCTGCTGGCCTGGTGATCCCAAGAGAACAGGGAAGACCCTGAGGCTGAGAGACATCAACCCAGCTTGGGGTCCTCATGGGTGAATTGGGACTGGCACTCCTCTCCCTGGTAGGGTCAGGGATTGAATTCTGGGGTCCAGAGGTCAGACCTGCAGACCAGATCCTGTGCACCCAGGTCTTGAATTGCCCAGGGTACAAAGAGTTATTCGTGAAGAGCCTACTGGGGTGTGTGTGCCTTCAGGGACCGATCAGTGTGCTTGAGGGCAACCCTCCTCCCAAGGGAGGGCCTTGTGCCCAGTTCAGGCTACAATCCTGTGCAGGGAACCTCCCAGCCTATATCACATCCAGGGGAGACCCGGTGGTGTGAGGTCTGGCCTGCTGGCAGAGGCCAAGGAAAACTCACAGAGTTGGGGAGGGTGGAAAGAAGTGAGGCCTGCTCCAGACTGCAAGTCTCAGACAGCCCCACCCCCACATGCAACTGAGCAGGGCCACTCCAGCCCCTCACTCACAGCTTTTCCCAAAAGCAGAAAACAGAACTTTGACCCCTGCTAACAGCATTTGTGGTGCCTGAGGGCAGGCTTAACCAACCCAGCACTGCCCAGACCCACTCCCAGACCAGCCCTCACTGAGGTGGAGAATAAGGACATACCTGGAAGTCTCAGAGCCCCACTCACCACCTGAGGCACTAGAATGCCTTTCCATAGGAACAAGAGCTGGTTACAGGACACAAAAACAACAGTGTAGCCTCCTTCTCCGAGTAAGCACCACCTACTGACAGGGAGGACATTCTGGACACCCTTTTCACAGCACCTACTGACTCGTCACACAGGGTGTGGTCAAATCTCACCCACAAACACCACTTACTGGCTCAGAGACTAAACAGGGTGTGTTATTACCCAAACGAAAACCTAAAGGAAAGAAGGAACAACTGATCCAGATGGGAAGAAATCAGCGAAGAAACTCTGGAAATATGAAAACTCAAATGGAAAGCACACCCCCAAAGAGGAGCACCAGCCCCTTAGAAAGGAACACCAACCAAAACCAGACAACTAAAATGACAGAAGAAAAATTTCAAGCATGGATTGTAAGAAAATTCAACAAGTTGCAAGAAAAACTGGATAATCAACACAAAGAAAACAAAAAGACTTCAGGATATGGAACAAAAATTCACTAAAGAAATTGACGCAATGAAGAAAAGTCTAACTGAACTCCTGAAAATGAAGAATCAATTCAGGGAATGACAAAATACAATTGAAAGCCTCAAGAACAGGGAAGACCAAACAGAAGAAAGAATCTCAGAGATTGAAGATAACACCTTCCAATAAAATAAATGAGTCACAGAGATATAGCAGAGAAACAAGAGACAAAAGCAAAGCCTACAAAAGTTGTGTGATTATGTGAAGAAACCTAATCTGAGGGTAATAGGGTTACCCAAAGGGAAAGAAGAAAACACTCAAGGGTTGGATAAGCTATTTGAAGATATAATAGAGTAAAATTTCCCAGGCCTTAGTAAAAATCTCAATTTGCAAGTTCAAGAAGCTCAGAGGACCCCTGGAAGATTCAATGCAAACAGGAAGACGTCATGACACGCAGCCATAAGACTGACCAAAATATCAACTAAAGAGGCCCTTCTACGAGCTGTAAGGAGAAAGAAGCAAGTTACATACAAAGGAAAGCCAATCTGAATAACTCTAGACTTCTCCACTGAAACTTTATAAGCAAGGAGAGACTGGGGCCCCATTCTCAGTCTTCTGTAACAAAATAATGTCCAGCCTAGAATCTTATTCCCTGCAAAACTAAGTTTTGTATATGAAGGTGAAACCAAGACATTCTCGATAGGCAAAGACTGAGGGAATTCACCAAGACTAGACCAGCCCTTCAAGAAGTACTCAAAACAGTGTTACCCATGGACCAGCACAATAAACACTCATGAATGTAAATCTACTCAAAAGCTAAAGTTCAAAGCCCTGAAACCACAATGGCTCAAGAGAGAAAACAAATCAACAAAGTTCAACCCAACATAATGAACAGAAATGTGCCCCACCTATCAGTTATCTCAATAAATGTGAATGGCTTGAACTCCCCACTCAAGAGACATAGACCGGCCAAATGGATAAAAAAAATACAAGCAAAGTGTCTGCTGCCTTCAGGAAACACATCTAACCTGCAAGGATGCATATAGACTAAAGGTAAAGGGGTAGAGAACAATATTTCAAGCAAATGGAAGCCAAAAGAAAGCTGGCATGGTGGTGCTGATTACAGATAACTTAGTTTTTAAATCAACAAAAGTAATGCAAGACAAAGAAAGTCACTATATGATGGTGAAGGGTACACCTCAACAAGAAGACATAACAATTCTAAATATATATGCACCCAACCTTGGTGCAACCAGATTCATAAAGCAAACTCTACTTGATTTAAACAAATGGATAAACAAACAATATAGCAGAGATTTAACACCCCACTGACGCAAGGACAGATCCTCCAACAAAAAAATCACCAAACAAATAATGGACTTAAGCGGAACGTGACAAATGCCCTGACTGACATTTCACGGACATTCTATCCCAACAAACTCACTGAAAACACGTTTCCTTTATTCAGCTCATGGGTCATTCCTAAATTGACCATTATCCTAGGGTACACAAAGCATATCTCAAACAGGTTTAAAATTAGAAATTATACCATGTATACTTGTTTCAGATCACAATGGAATAAAAGTAGAATTCAACCCTAACAAGAACTCTCATTTCTACACAAAGTCATGGAAACAAAACAACCTTCTGCTGAACAGCCCACTTCATAACGAGGACATCAAGTTGGAAATCAAAAAGATTCTTTGAATTAAATGACAAAAGAGACACCACATTATCAAAACTGTGGGACACAGCTAAATCAGTCTGGGAGAAGGTTATTTCCATAATCCTATATCCAGAAGGTCGAAAATGATCACAAATAGACAAACTAATGAATCATCTCAAAGAGCTAGAAAAAGAAGAACACACCAACCCCAAACCCAACAGAAGAAGTGAAATCATAACTAAATGAAATTGGCAACAGGGAAACCATACAGAAGATTAACAAAACAAAAAGTCGGTTCTTTAAAAAAATAAACAAAATTGATACACCTTTGGCTAGACTAATGAAAAGCAGAGAAGAAAAATCTCTAATAAGCTCCATCAGGAACAATAAAGAGAAATTACAACTGATGCCACAGAGATACAAGATATAATCCAAGAATACTACAAAACCCTCTATGCACACAAACTAGAAAATGTGGAGGAAATGCACAATTTCTTAGAAACACACAGCCTCCCTAGGCTCAACCAGGAAGAAATAGAATTCCTGAACAGACCCATAACAAGTACTGACATTGAAACAGCAATAAAAAACCTTCCTAAAAAGAAAAGTCCTAGACCATATGGTTTCACACTCGAATTTTACCACACCTACAAGGAAGAACTGGTGCCTATCCTGCAGAAGTTATTCCACAACATCGAGAAGGATGGAATTATCCCCAAAACATTTTATGAAGTGAACATAACTGTGATATCAAAACCAGGAAAGGGTGCAACAAAAAAAGAAAACTACAGACCAATATACCTTATGAATATAGATGCAAAAATTCTCAACAAAATCCCAGCCAATCAAATCCAGGTACTTGTCAAGAAAATAATCCATCATAAACAAGTGGGCTTCATCCCAGGGATGGTTCAACATATGCAAATCTATAAATGTAATTCATCATATAAACAGAAGCAAAAACAAAGATCATATTTCCTCTCAACTAGATGCCAGAAAAAGAATTTGGACTAAATTCAACACCCTTATGTATGTAAGCACTATAAAAATAAGCATAGATAGGACTTACCTAAAATGATATAAGCCATATATTACAAACCCACAGCCAATATCATACTAAATAGGGAAAAACTGAAAGCACTCCCACTTAGAACTAGAACAAGACAAGGTTGTCCATTATCTCCACTTCTATTCAACATAGTGCTGGAAGTCCTTGCTCTGCAATCAGACAAGAAAGAAATTAGGGCGTCCCAAAAATGGAAGCATAAAGAATCAAATTCTACACTCTCATGACATGATATTATACCTAGAAAACCCCAAGGATTCAACCAAGAGACTCCTTGAATTGATAAATGAATTTAGTAAAGTCTCAGGATACAAAATCAATACACAGAAATCAGAGGCATTCATATACGCCAACAACAATACAAGTGAGAACCAAATCAAAGACTCATTTCCCTTCAAAATAGCAACAAAGAAAATGAAGTATCTTGTAATATATTTAACTAAGGAGATAAAAGACCTCTACGGGGAGAATTATGAAACACTGAAAAAGGAAATAGCACAGGACATAAACAGATGGAAGCATATACCATGCTCATGGGTCAGCAGAATCAACATTGTTAAAATGTCTTTACTACCCAAAATGACCTACAGAGTCAATGCAATCCCTATCAAAATACCATCATCATTTTTCACAGATATAGAAAAAATAATTTTATGCTTTATATGGAACCAGAGAAGATCCTGTATAGCAAAATCAATCCTAGGCAATGAAAACAAAATAGGAGATATCAATCTATCAGACTTCAAATTATACTACAAGGCTATAGTAATTAAAAAGCCTTTTAACTGGCTGAATAACAGGGACATTGACCAGTGGAACAGAACAGAGAACCCAGATATAAAACCATCCTCATATAGCCAACTCATCTTTGACAAAGCAGACAAAAACATACACTGGGGAAAAGAATCCTTATTCAATAAATGGTGCTGGGAAAACTGGATAGCTACATGTATAAGACTGAAACAAGACCCACACCTTTCACCTCTCACAAAAATCAACTCACACTGAGTAACAGATTTGAACCTTAGGTGTGAAACTATTAGAATCCTAGAGGAAAATGTTGGAAATACTCTTCTAGTCATTGACCTAGGCAAAGAATTTATGAAGAAGACACCAAAGGCAATCATAGCAGCAACAAAAATAAATAAATGGGACCTGATCAAATTTAAAAGCTTCTGCACAGTGAAAGAAATTGTCAAGAGAGCAAACAGACAACCCACAGCATGGGAGAATGTTTTTGCAAGCTACATATCTGACAAAGGGCTGATAATTAGAATCTATTTAGAACTCAGGAAAATCAGCTAGAAAAAAATCAAAGAACCCTATCAAAAAATGGGCAAAGGACATGAACAGAAACTTTCAAAAGAAGACAGAATAATGGCCAACAAACATGAAAAAATGCTCAACATCTCTAATCTTCAGGGAAATGCAATTCAAAACCACAATGAGATATCACTTAACTCCAGTGAGAATGGCCTTATCAAAAAGTCCCCCAACAATAAATGCTGGCGTGGATGTGGAGAGATAGGAACACTCCTACACTGCTGGTGGGACTGCAAACTAGTTCAACCTCTGTGGTAAGCAATATGGACTTACCTCAAAGCGATACAAGTAGATCTACCATTTGTTCCATCAATTCCACTACTGGGCATCTACCCAAAAGATCAAAAGTCACTTTATGAAAAAGACGCCTGCACTCGAATATTTATAGCAGCACAATTCACAATTGCAAAGCTGTGGAAACAACCCAAGTGCCCATCAATACATGAGTGGATTAATAAAATGTGGTATCTGTATACCATGGAGTATTATTCAGCTTTAAGAAACAATGGTAATATAGCATCTCTTATATTCCTGGATACAGCTGGAACCCATTCTACTAAGTGAAGTATCTCAAGAATGGAAAAACAAGCACCGCATGTACTCACCAGCAAATTGGTATTAACAGATCAACACCTCAGTGGACATATGTGAGTAACATTTATTAGGTGTTGGGCAGGTGGGAGAAGGGAGGAGGAAACACAACAAGTAAGATGTGCAACTTTTGGTGGATGGACATGTTTGAAGCTCTCAATTAGTAGGGGGCATGGGCAATATACTTAACCTTAACACTTATACCCCCATAATACGCTAAAATTAAAAAAATACTAAAAGAAATAAATAAATTATTTACACTATCTTCAATATTTATGTATTACTTACATGTCAATCATGTATACAGTATGGCTTAGAAAAGCCTCAGATGATGTCAAAGGGTGAGCCTAGTCACGTCCCAAAGCAGCTGATGCTACAAACCAATCACAACATCAGACTTTTAAATTGAATAAAAACTAAGAACACTATTAGACTGGAAGCACGATTCTCTCCATTTATATATTAATGTGATTGAGTGTTTCATGATGAATAACTATCAATACTTGCTTTAGAAGCCACTTAAAATGTTTTAGAAATAATCACTTCTTATTGCTACGTTTTGGGACAACCTGCTACATGAGCACTGACACCTTCAGAAAGGAAGGCACATGCACGGGCCACGGCTGTTTCCAGCTGGCGCTGAGCCTTGACTGCTCCCAATTTACGCCGGCTCAACCTACAATTTTTTAACTTTACAATAGTGTGAAAGCAATATGCATTTAGTCAAAACCATACTTCAAATTTTGAATTTCTATCTTTTCCTGGGCTACTGGTGTTCAGTACAACACCATCGCGATGGTGGCAGTGGCGGCAGGCTGCAGCACCCAGCTAGCGCCCTCATCAAGAGGGTGAGCAACCAACACCACAGTGAGCAGCGCTGCCAGATGATCCTGCACAAGTGCAGGCTACTGTACATTCTGAGCATGTTTAAGGTAGCCTGGGCTAAGCTACGATGTTTGGTAGGTTAAATATATTGAACGCATTGTCTCCTCATGATATATTCAACTTATGATGGGTTTATCACTACATAACTCCATTATAGAGCTGAGGAGCATTTCTACAATGTATATATATTGTCTTTTATGTCACTGAGACGTACTTTCATATTTAGCTTTACAGTGGTATGCTTGCAAACATTTCTCCTGTTCATAGATTTCAGGCGCGGAGGTTTCTCTCTGTTGTCTGTGGCTGGTGACCCACACCACAAGACTTCCTCACCCACCACCCCACCTCATCCGGTGCTTTTGCACATAGCAGCTGCTCCACGCCCCTTGAAACACTCAAGGAATGCTCACTGATACGCATCTATATATATTTATTCATTCTTTAACAGTTATTTAGGAATACCATGATAAATTAATTTAGCCCTTACCGTCACGGATTTTATAGTCTGGTTTAGCGAGCAAGGATTATTAATTAATCACAAAAATAAATATATGTCGATATAACACTCACTTTGTAGTCAAATTGAAGGTGTGCCTTCCCACTTTATCTGGCCACTGCTGTGAATCCTTATTTTGTGCAATGAACGCCCATGACGAAGATTCTGGAGGTACAGTGGAGTCCTGTGGAGAGAGGAGCAGATTGACTGCAGAGACTCAATCCTCAGGAAACCCATTTGCCAGCTTCAGTAAGATCCTTCTCTTTTTTGTCCTAAATGGACTGTAATCTGTGTATGCCATCTCTTTATGCTACACTGACCTGTCCTCTTGCTAGGTTTGAAGGACGTGCATTAATTAGAACAGATTGCATTATGCTGTGGTAACAAATACTCCTAAAATGTCAGTAGCTGAACAAAAAACAAAGGTTTATTTCTCCCTCATGTGACATGTCCTTTGTGTGGAACGTGTCCTCTACTTTAGCATCTTCCATCAAGAACCCGACCCGAGGGAGGCTTCTTATCTGACAGAAAAAAGGAAGCTTGGAACACTGGTCGTCCCCACTCACGTTGGATGGGCCAGAACTGGGCAGATGGCTCCGCCCTGCCACAAAGAGGGACAGGAAACAGCCTTCTGTGTGCCTTGAAAGAAAGAAGAATCGGGTATGACTGTGTCTCACAAAATCATAGTCACCTGAAAGAAAGGGTCGTGTCAGCCCAGAAGCAGCCACATCCTGTTGGAACCACTGGTTTTCCTTGGATGACGTCTCCACTTAGATCCTGCCTTTCTTTATATTGCCCATGGTAAAAGTCCTTTTCGAGGCAGTCGCTATTCATTTGAAAAACTAAAACCAAATATAATCAAAAGATTCTTCGAAAGATGGTCGTAAGCATTGTGTATGATCAGTGTCTGTTGTCCTGAGGGCTAGGGTTGTTGGGAACCTCCACAGATGAAAGGGAAGAGGAAGCCAGTGCCAAGGAGACTCATGCAGGCTGAGTTCTCATGGGGACCAAGGGAAGGGTAGGAGCTGGAGCATGGCTCTGGCCCCTCCAGGCACTAAAAGAGGCAACTATGCTGACTGCATGATGCCAAGAGGGCAGTTGCTGGCCTGCTTGTTTTAATAATGGTCGAATGCAGCCCTAACTACAACCTCACAGGCCAACTTTGCTCACCAATGATGGCTTCAGAAACTAGAACTGTGGTGTTTAATGTGGTAGCCACTAGCCACATTTAGCTCCTTAAATTTTAAATTATATTTAATTAAAATTACAAAACTACTCTGTATGATGTTGTAATGGTGGATTCATGTAATTGTAGATTTGTCAAAACCATAGACTGTACACCAAGAGTGAATCCTAATGTCAACTACGGGCTTTCAGTGACAGTGATGATTCAGTATAGGTTCAACAATTTAAAAATTAATTTCTTGGTTGCACTAGCCACATTTCAAGTGCTTAATAGCCACATGGAGCTAGTTGCTGCCATTATTCCACAAAACAAGTATAGACTGGTTCCATCATCGCATGAAGTTCAATTGGACAGAGCTATTCTAGAAGACCCGGATTTGAGAATAGGACACCACCAATGATGCCCTCTTGTCAAAAGAATAGAACTTGAGTTTAATCAAGACTCTGTGACTCATAGGAAGTGCAAAGGCTGGGAGAACATGTACAACTGCACAACGGAGAAACAAACAGCAACGTGTAGACGGCAGGAAACTCAATGAAACAAAAAGGAAACTTCAAAATAAAAAAAGATAAGGAAAGCTATAAATATTTGTAAGATATGTCAAACAATGACATGTGTGCACCTTACTGGAATTGATTCAAATATAAAACTATAAAAGTATGTATAATAAGCATGAGATCATTGGAATTTGAACACTCCTTCTGGATGATATCAAGGATTGATATTTTCTGAATTCTCTTTAGGTATGTTAATGATTTTGTGGTTATGTCAGAGTGAAAAGTCCTTATCTTTTAGGAATGCATACTGGAATGTTAATGAAAGAAATGATATAATGTCTGGGATTCACCCCAAAATAATTCAAGCAGGGGGGATGAATTGCTGCGTGGATGGGATAGGACTGGCCATGGATTGATGATTGTTGGCTCTGGCTGATGGATTCCCCAGGTAAAAAATTGATTATTCTGATTACTTTTGCATATGTTCAAAATGGGAAGAAAATTTTAAATAAAGCAAGTCTTACTGTATAATCCAGGAGTCATGCTCCTTGGTATTTATCCAAAAGAGTTGAAAACTTATGTCCATACAAACTCAAAGATGTTTATAGCATTTTTATTCACAATTGGAAAAATTGGAGGCAACCAAGATGTCTTGGCTACATACTATATGATTCCAACCATATGACATTCTGGAAAAGGCAAAACTATGGAGACAATAAAAAGATCATTGGATGCCAGGAGTTAGGGGAAAGGTAGGGATGAATTGGCAAATCACAGAGGATTTTTAAGGCAGTGAAACTACTCTGTATGATGTTGTAATGGTGGATTCATGTCATTGTAGATTTGTCAAAACCATAGACTGTACACCAAGAGTGAATCCTAATGTCAACTATGGGCTTTCGGTGACAGTGATGATTCAGTATAGGTTCATCAATTGAGAAATATATACCACTCTGGTGGGAGATGTTAATAATGGGGGCGGCTGTGCATTTGCGTGGGCAATGCCATATGCAACTTCCAGACTTTCAAAGCCAATCAATCAGCTTTCTTCTGCTCCAGAGAGCTTTCCCTCTCTATGACCTCCAGTGAAGACATAACTAAAAGAAGGAAACTTCCCTGCCTCCACAAACACGTGACTGTCCATGGCCATCAGCCTTTGCTAGGAGCCCAGGCCAGACTCTGGGGGTCAAGGATCAAAGGTGCCTCTCTGAGCAGAAAGGAAATCTAAGGCCCAATTTCCTCTGATCAGATGCAGCTTTAGCCTAAGCTCACAGCTCAGCTCTTTATATCTTCCACTCAATTTTGCTGTAAACCTAAAATCACTCTAAAAAATATTGGAGTCTATTTTAAAGGCAGGGAAATAGAACAACTCACTGAGAGTAGTTTCCATAGAGTTTCCCTACTCTTATGATATTCCTTACAAGAAGCAAGAATCTTTTCTCCACCTTAGTAAATTGTCTTAGTCCATTCTAAACATTTTATCCTTCAACTTCCAACACTTTATCTTTTCTTTTGTGCTTTCATTGCCATGAAATACATCTCAGAGTCATGTGAAGTTTTGTGTTGTCACTTACTATGAGACATCTTCATACTTTTGTCACAACTGCTTTCCTCATTTATGTTGATTCTGCCTTTACGGGGATCCTTGGGTTGCGTGTGTAATCTCTAAAATGTCTACAGAGTCAGTGTTCCCACCTCAGCGCTGTCTCCTACAACTTTCCTACACTCTACTGGAATTTCACTTCCAGTATAAGCACTATGTGTTTCTTTGCTGCACTTTTGCTTTGTTGCCTCTCTCTGTGTCAATTATACAGCTTTGTGACATGTCATGTAGACTTATCACTGGGAAACAAGAAGACAGCACAATGACACATTTTGCTGTGTGTGTGTGTGTATGTGTGTGTGTGTGTGTGTGTGTGTGTGAATTGTGTGACCAATCACCAACTGACTGTGAAAGAAGTGCCTTGATTGGTCACTGGTTGTGATGAACACCTGGTATTTACAAAGTGATCTGTGGACTGTACAATGATTTGTGAAATTTCTGCTGTGTGCAATTTTACACAGTTAATATATGGTGGTAAATAAAATGTGAGTTATGTTCCTGAAGTACTGGATTATTTAATGATAACTAAAATTCATGAACATATGAACTTTACATAGCAAGGACTGTCTATATGACATATATTTGGTAATATTCCAATGTAAGATAAAATACTTAGAATAATGTAGACCAGCATAAGAAATCACATTCTTGGTATGAGGAAGTCTTTCCCTAAGCAGACCATGAAACTGAAATAGCATAAAGGAAAAGATAGGGGATTTGATGTGACACGAGGTAAAGAATTCTATATGGCCAAAGGCAATCTAAACAGATTTAAAGGACAAAAAAGGAACTAGGAAATGTGTAAAAATATGGCCCAGGGTTTGGCCACCGATTCCTTTCTTCCACGACAGTTTCAGAGAGTCAAACTTTATGACTTCATCAACAGATGAGAGATTAGACCAAATTTCTCATATAGAGTGGACTTCATTTCGTGGAATGCAAACTACCCTCCAACAGGAAAGATGGGGAATTGCCAGTCTAACCCAGATTCTTGGCATCCCCAACAAGGTCGGGATTGTTAGGACACAAAAAGTTTTTCTCAGACCCAAATTCTCTTAGAAAAGAGGAAAAATAGTATAAGCCCTTTCTAATCTCTCCAGGAGCAGAAATGATTTACAGTTAAACAATGTGAATTAATAAAAATCAGGGAAATTAAGGTATACATCTCCTCAGGTATTTATAATTTCTTTGTGTTAGGAACTTTCCAGTTCCACTCTTTCAGTTATTTCTGAAGTATGTCCTAACTTATCGTCCATTATAGCCACTTTGTTGTGCTATCAAATATTGTTCTTTCTAGCTATCTACACTTTTGCAGCCACTAATCATCCCTACTTTATCCTCCTCTCCCTGCTACCCATCCCAGCTTCTGACAAACCATCATTCTCCTCTGTGTCCATGAGACCATTTGTTTTAAATATTTAGCTCCCATGCAAAGAGTTGAGAGACAAAATAGCAGAACAGAAATGGCAAAGACTTGAGACCATGCTTGAGGAGTAAAAGGGAAGGCAGTATTGTCAGCCTCTAGAGAGCAAGGGGACAGGGGGAGCTAGGAGACTACAGGAAGAAATCAGATAATTCAAAATCTTGCCTTGTGAGCTCAGATTTTATTCTTCAAACAAAGAGAAGCCATGGATTAGTTTTAAATGTGGGATTTGCCTTTGACTGGAACATGCATTAAAAAAATTAATATATATAATGTACTTAGAACAGTGGCTGGCAGAGAAAGCACTATGACAGCATTCTTATTCTTATCTTTATTTGTATTATTAAGGAAGAGTTAGCGAAGGACCAAGAACGAAAGCAGGTAGACCAGCTGGAGCCTGAGCCAGCATAGTGGCTGTAAAATTGGAGAGAAGTGGGATGTACC